CGTATAGTCATGAAGAACAAATTACCCCCCCCATCCCGTGACCAATTTGGAAAAATAATTTTTCGGGTCCGCTATCTGAAATTCAGGGTATAAGTAAAAAAACTAATAGGAAAAACTCAAAAGTGCAAACAAAAGTCCAATCAAACGAATAGTTTCCGTGATAGACGAGAAACAAAATGGAGCTTCGAGAGATCAAGTAATACATACCCCCCCCCATTACGTGACAAATTTAGAAAAATTTAATTTCGTCTTCGCAATCTGAAAATCTCGGTACAAGTAGAACATTTAAAGAGAAATACAAAGGTGAAAACCAAACTCCTATCAGGCGAAAAGTTTCCGAGATAGACGAGAAACAAAATGAAGCGTATAGTCATCAAGAACAAAATACCCCACCATTACGTGACCAATTAGGAAAAATATTAATTTCGGGTCCGCTATCTGAAATTCTGGGTATAAGTAAAATGTTTTAAGAAGAATTCAAAAGTGCAAACAAAAGTCCAACCAAACGAATAGTTTCCGTAATAGACGAGAAACAAAATGGAGCTTCGAGTGATCAAGTAATACATACCCCCCCCCATTACGAGACAAATTTAGAAAAAAAAAATCATCTTCGCGATCTGAAATTCCGGTTATAAGTAGAACATTGAAAGAGAAATACAAAGGTTAAAACCAAACTCCTATCAGACGAAAAGTTTCCGAGATAGACGAGAAACCAAATGGATCTTCGAATGATCAAGAACAACATTACGTGACAAATTAAGAAAAATATTAATTTTGGGTCCGCTATCTGAAATTCTGGGTATATGTAAAATAATTCAAGAGAAATTCGAAAGTGCAAACCGAACTCCAATTAGACGGATAGTTTCCGTGATAGACGAGAAACAATATGGAGCTTCAAGTGATCAAGTACAACATACCCTCCATTACGTGACTAATTTAGAAAAAAACATATTTCGTCCTGGTAATCTGAAGTTCTGTTTATAAGTAGAACATTTAAAGAGAAATAGAAAGGTGAAAACCAAACTCCTATCAGACGAATAATTTCCGAGATAGACGAGAAACAAAATAAAGCGTATAGTCATCAAGAAAAAAAACCGCCCATTACATGACAAATTTGGAAAAATATTAAATTTGGGTCCGCTATCTGAAAGTCTGGGTATAAGTAGAACACTTAAAGAGAAATTCAAAAGTGCAAACAAAACTCCAATCGCTTTACTTCTAGGCTGTCCGGGTGACGCCGCGTCGTTGGCAGATAGGCCGACGTTTCGCCTGTCATGTCGCAGGCTTCTTCAGGGTACTGACATAGTAAAGTACTGACATTTTCACAGCTCCCGACAAACTGCACAAGACCCTGGTACGCATTAAAGATGCTTTACCACCTCTCCAGGCGGCAGGCGTTTACGAAGTTCCCTGCAGCTGTGGCAGAACGTATGTCGGTGAGACCGGGCGCACTGTGTCTGAACGAGTTAGGGAACACATTAGTTATTACAACAAAAACCAAACCCACCGTTCGGCCATAGCACTCCACTCCGAGGTCACAGGACATGCTATTGAATTCGATAAGACCCGGCTCCTACACAGTAAAAATCGATACTGGCCTAGACGCGTAAAAGAGGCAATAGAAATCAGTAGACGGCCGCAAAACATCAACGCGGATGCAGGCCTTAATCTAAGCCACGCCTGGAAGTATATTCTTCCACCGATGCCTGACGGCGCGGGGACTGTTCCTCTCCGTCCGATCTCTAGGATGGCGGGTGCGAGGCCCGGGTTGGCCCAGACCGCGAGCCAATCAGAGGGACCTCTCCGCCAATCACGGCGCACTTGCGTTACCCGACCACTAGCTGAATAAGATATAACACCGGAGGCGGAGCTTTACTATGTCAGTACCCTGAAGAAGCCTGCGACATGACAGGCGAAACGTCGGCCTATCTGCCAACGACGCGGCGTCACCCAGACAGCCTAGAAGTAATGGACTCGAGCCGCGGAAGCCTACGTGTACATAAAACTCCAATCGAACGGGTGGTTTCTGTGATAGACGAGAAACAAAATGGAGCCTCTAGTGATCAAGTACAACAGACGGCCCAACGGCCTGGAAGGGGGAGGGGGGCGAGGTGTTTTCCTAAATTTCACTTTACGACGCTCCTATTTGTCCGATTTGTATGATTGTCACGGCGTTGGATTCAGGAAGCATGTCGCTATAAGCCCACATTTTTTAATTTAATCTCGAAAAATTGAGAACTAATTTCAAATTCGCGTTTTTGCTAGATTTTTGGAAAAATGTCATCATAGCATATATTATATTTTAAAATGACGTCACATGCCGTTTACAGATCGATAATCGGACCATTGGTTCAGACGTTATCGGTAAAGTAAATTTTGCTAATTTTGGTGCTGCCACGTGGTGGCTACAAATTGTACTAGTGTCGGGACATTTAGCCTTAAGGCGACATTTCTTGGCAAGTCGTCAAACTTTGTGCAAATGGAACTTCTCTTTTCAATCATTTGAATTAAGTATATCCCCTTTGGTTTACCTTTACTTACGTTACGTACGTCATTGCCTTGTTTAACATTTGTATATTTGGCTTTCAGTTTGCTTGGGGCATTTTTACGGCTATTTTTATGTAGATTTTTATGGTTATATTGTGCACTCTATTGCCGCATTGACGCTATTAACGCAATGATTTGTTTGTGAACAAGGTTAAAATTTTATTATTCTATGTGTGACCTATAACAGCTAAGACGGGCTTGTAGTTTTAAAAAATAAAGGAAATTGAAAAAAGTTTTATCAGAAGCCACAGCAAAGTATTCTGTTACTGGCATAAAAAGTGATTTCATTTTGAAAAGTTCCATCCATAAAAAAATTTTAGGGAATATATTGCTGTCAGTTATATTGTTATTATTGATAAGAACATCCTGACCTTTTTTTTAGAACCGAGATGTTAATTCTACAATAGTTTTACTACATCATTACACAACTTTTTTTTAATAATTTATTTCTTTAACGTCTTTATCAAACATTGTATCTCTTAGATAATATCTAAGAATAAACTTTTAAATTGTATCCAAAATAAATTTTTACATTCAAGTTTTGAAAAAGACCTCAGTATGGACTGACTCGTTAAACGAAATGAATTATTATAAAATAGTATTCTGTACAAAACTCGAAGTGAGAATGTCCAATCTCGGCAGTGCCAGTGCCAAGTCGAAGCCTCCTCTGAAAGGAGACGGCCGACTGTCCCTGACACGGCGTAGCACCTAAGGGATTCCACCAATGGCTTCCCCTGCTGTTGCAGCTATGAATATATCTTATATATCATTGTCTTGAATGATTTGACATTATATACAAATGCACAACTTATTCATGAATATTACACCGTGTTCTTAACAACAACAACAACAACAATAATAATAATAATAATAATAATAATAATAATAATGTATTTGATTAATAAGCAATTCACAGCGTATGTGAAGTATACGGGAGAGTCTTCTCGCGCTCTCTTAGTTGAGAAGACGCAATGGACCATATCTGCATTCGTTCTCAATATCTCTGGGGAATTGGACTAAAACCGCAATTAAATGCGGTCCTATATCCACGAGCAAATACATGTATTAATTTCCATTGCATTCAGTATTTTTATGTTGAAATAAATTATATAGGAAAATGTTATAAAAAGAAAACAGAAACAATTCTGATTGATCTTCAAAAAACAATCATTCATAAACTTTATTTAAATGAAATAATAATAATAGTAATAATAATAATGGTAATAATAATAATAATAATAATAATGCGTGTAAGTATTTTCATAGTTAAAAAAATCGAAGCAAATAACACAAGTATCTTCCATTCATACTGATTACTACAATTGTATTCTAGTTCGTATTCTTAAACTAACAGTTACTTGGAATAAAATTGAATATTTACCTAAAAATATTACATTTCAGATAAAAAATAATAAACTCGCTCTTTTTTTAATACAAAAATGTATTCATAATATATGAATATAGAATTCTCTAAACCTTTTAAGAGCCTTCAATAAAACTCGCTCTCAAAACACCTCTGCGAGATCTGACCAGTGCAGTTCTCCTCCAGGTGCACGTAGATAAGCGGACAATGCCTCCCCGATGGGCCGTGTGCCCGATGGGCAGCGTCCACTGCATGGCCGATGAAACTGTCTCGCGGGCTGTGAAAGCCACAGCACACGCCAGCTGCGTCCGGCTGCCTATCGAAATACGGCGATCACTCAGGGCTTACGGGGCCTGCGTGCGCTCCCGGCTTCATTGCAATGTTCTCGCCACAGGCTGCGCTGCCCCATTTCCCGTTGCAAATCTACGCCTCCCACGCCGTCCCCATCCGTCGCTGGCTCCGTTAGGCGACTGCGCCACATGCCGTCTCCTTTCACCTCACCTTTCTTTGCCGTTCTCTCTGTCTCGTGCGACCACACCGCTGCAATATGAACGCCTTCAGGGAAAAACGGGCCCCCGCAGCCTTTGCATATTGCGGCGTCAACAACTCCACTTTTGTCGCCTTCGCCGGAACTCCCAGTCATTATTACTGTCTCTCACGTTGTTGTTTCGCCGACGACTACTCCATCCGCACCTGAACCACCGAGACATTTCTCCGCTCACATTGGACGTCTCAGCTCACGTATGGTCACAACGGGAATAGTCACTATGGCTCCCGGTCATCTGCGGCCATCATTCTTTCTAAAGTATCGTCCTCCTCCGCCACTCGCGCCCCGTTCTCGCGATCTTATTTCTCGTCACTCCTGCACATTTGAAACAAAAACGTTCGTTGTTCAGGAACTTCAAATTTTGAAGAGAAAGCAAAAAGGTTCTACGTACGGGCATCGAACATTTTTTATTAACATTAACAGTTAAAGGACACTCTCCAGACGTCAGAGAAGTTTATGCAGCGAACGTTTATGCACAAAAAGTTGAATTTATAATTTAGGAACAGTTTCCGAGTGTTCACTCAAACCAGACAAAATGTGGCATCAAACTTTTTGTTTGCTGCGATTATTGTCTTGTTTGTCAGTGTCTTTGTCTTCTTTGCCTTTGTCGCTCTCTTCTCGAACGCAGCTCAGTGCAGTACTCGGCCCGCGCCCGCTGCGCCATCTCGCCTTTTCAGCCAACTCGTGTCTGTTGCTATCGTTGCTGATAATCCTGATAACATCTTCCTTCCCTTCTCTCGCCACTTCCTCTGATCCTGATGGCCATTCCTCGCGACCGACCACATCCGCCGTCGCAGCATCTGCCTCCTCTATCATCCTAATGTCTTCGTGTCTTCCGGTGTTCCTCAGTCTGAAACCCGTCCGATGTGATTACCAGTTGCTCGTCATTACAAAATTAGGCTGTTGTTCAAGTACATGTGGGAACTACCATCACGCGAATGTTCTCCCTTCCCGAATGCGCAGGTTAGTGTGAGGCACCGCCCCCTAAGGTACCGCTCTATCACAGCCGCTCTTCCGCTCCCGCGACCCTCCCCGATGCGCCTTTCGTTGCCATGGACGTCCGAATGCCAACCGGCACTCGCCCTCCTGAACAGCACTTACACTTCGCATGCAGCGAATTCGATATAGCAGCTTGACTGTTTTCCCTTCGTGTCAAAGTTATTTTGACTCCCCATGCAAACAACGATAGACCATGCCCACCACTAGCCGCTCTATCTTCCGGCCTGTGAAGTCAGAGGTAGTTGACGCAACGAAAGGCGGGTCATTACGCCAAAAACGTGAGAGGTTCGAACGGAGAGAGATGGCTGTTCGATTGGTGCGATATTCGGAGATAAGATGCGGTCGTGCAGCGTTCCAGGTGAAGAAGACGAGAGACCGACGGAGGAACAGGAGATGGAGAGATTTAAATCTGGTGATACATAACGGCTCAGACACTTTCGACCTAGTTAGTTCCCTAATCTCTTTGGTTACCTTTTCTGTATTGCCCTACCTTCATTCCTGCTGCTACCTATCGGCACAAAAAACAAATTTTTCACATTCCCTAATTTTTCGGTTCTCAAATTTTAGAATTTGGATACGATTTAAAGGATAGTACAGAAATGTAAAACATATTTATTTACGCAAATTTGCAAAGCAAAAAGGTACAGGCAGACGGTTTCGCCGTAAATAAAATTTTTGGTGTCAAGTGACCTAAAATGAGATTTGAATACATATAGTGTTAAGAGGAACGTACCTGCAGATTCTGTGCACATCGTGTTAGAGGTGTTTGCACTTTCTCGTTTGTCGGGGACCTACAAACTTTTCCCAAAGAATGCCGTTTTTTGAGATGCGTTTAGAGCGTGTGTAGTATGCGAGACAGTCTAAAGAGGGGCGATGTGATGAGCCGTGGAAGAGAAAGGAGCAAGCGGTGTAGGGGCGGTCTACGTGGGGGGGATCCTGCGGAGGCAGATGCGGCGGGGGCCGGGGGGGGGGCAGGAGGGAGGGGGCGAATCAATACCTCGCCGCCGAAGGCCTGCCAAGGGAGCGTCCTCCGCGGGGCGCCGGGCGCCGGGCGCTGGGCCTGCCCTGCCATTGAGGGACCCCTTGGGGTTTTCGGGGCGTCGACGGGCGCTTAAGTGTAGTGCTTGTTATAAACCGGGTCCCGCCTCCGCTACAGCGCGATATACGGCGCCGACCTACACTTCGAGTTCCCTTCCAAGCAACTCGTGCAGCTGCAGACCTCCCAGACGGGCTCCCGACTGGCCTTGAGTAGTAATGCGGTGCGCGCACGTGCGTAAGGGGAGGGAGGGGCGATGATGAGAGAGGAGAGGTCGAGCGCGGCGGGTGGCCGTTTGTTATGATTTATTCCGTATTTCGCATTTTATTGATTGGACGCGTCGAAAATGCAAGTCCCATAACCTGGGACTTGCTAGCCGAAGCTACCTACTAGCTGGGCGCTAGTACTCGTAAACGCAACTCATACACGTCGGTATGAATCCGCATTCAATTCCCGACGAGCATCTGCTGTCATCGACATCGAGAGCCCAAGGCCAAGAGACCCGTTCGCCTTGATGACAGCCGTGGAGCCTTTGATGCCGGCGACGTCAATAGCACCGAGAAACGTGCGAAAGCACTTCCGACTTCCTCGTAATAGTTAGTTGCCATATTGCTGTAGGTTTGGCTAGCTTTTCGGTTTTTCTCCACCCTCTTCCAAGATGCTTAAAAGACGTGTTTTCACATTGTCAATTTTTTGGTCCCCTAATGGTGGAATTAAAATGTGGCTTTAGGAATATTTAAAGAAGTAGAACTGGTCCTCTATGTAAATTTTCAATTAAAAAAGGTACTTTTTTGAGAAAACGTTGTTTGAGTTTTTGTGAAATTGTGCAAATTAGAGTTAGTTTTCATAAATTTTTTTAGCACTATCCGTACACAAAGCTTAAAGAAAAAATTGAGTTCTTCAGACAATCTTTTTTTTAAATTATCTTTATTTGATGCAAACATTTGCGGAAACTACTCACGTTTTGGAAAAATGTACATCAACTCATTTAAATATCTACTTTTCAATAACAGATTTTATTCAAAAGAAAAATCTCGATCTTTAATCTTGTAGCCTAAGGAAGACCCCAAAAAATTTAAACCTTCGATCGTTTTCGAAAGTTCAGAGAATTGAACAAAAATAGAACCTTCACAATTTTCATGAGCGTACTTACTTCTGTCTGATAAAACGATTAATCCAAAAATTTGAATCCATTTCTGAGAAAAATCAAAATGCTCTTGCTGGTTTATGTTATCTCTTTATGCTATCTCAAATATCAAAAGATCCGTTTTAAACTCACTCTTTTCTAATAAAAATTCCGGTTTTTCGTTTCAGCGTCACATAACTTTCTTTATACTCATTTTACACCATATTCAAACCAGACATACTTGATGCAATCCCCGTTCAGTGAACACTAAACAGAGGTGGTCTGATCCATGCGCACACATGCAGGCTTCTCAGGTAATGGTGTCAACACATTTGCGAGGCGTCACATACACATGCAGGTAAAACTCAATGGATCCATGTTCGTGACGGAATCAGAAAGGGTTTCCATTTAAGAAGAAATGTGAGCTTTACACTCAACCAAATTTCGTGATTAAAAACAATTAAAGGTAGTTAGCTCAAGATGTTTTAGGCTTACTATTATTAATCGGTTTTATAGATAATAATAATAATAATAATAATAATAATAATAATAATAATAATAATAATAATAATCGGAATAATATACTTTAATAACATATTAAAAGTAAAGGACTGAAAGGTTCGCCGACAAGCGACGGCAAACGAGTGAGAGCGAGGTTAGAGTTAAAGAAAGAAAGATAGGAAGATTTTTGAGAGTGTTTTAAATGCAGTAATGTACTATAAATTCAATGTTTAACAGACTTTGATTCACATGTGTTTCTTCCAAACATTTTAGTTATGCATTACGCTTTTAAGTGTAGATTTGGCACCATGGTTTTCTGCTGTAGTCCACTAAAACATACGCATGTCCATACATTGGTAAATGTAAAATATTTCAATTACATTTTCAAAAACAAGTTTAACAATATATTCACAGTGAATAGTGATTGTGGTGTTCTAGAATTTGTACCATCTAGTTTGTATGTTGCATTTTTCTGTGGTGTAACTTTTCTATCATTCTTTCTTTTGTGCAAATAATGGCAAGGGCGTTGAAGAATTGTTGGTGTATCAAATTTAAACTGTAGTGAACATTGTAGCTGTAACAGTATGGACATGATAAAGACTTGAGTGAGACAATACTTTATCCAATTTTCTTCGTATGGTGTCTATTGTGAAATCAATTTTGGCTTCATTATTCCTGTAATCTCACGTACATTTAAGTGCACTAAAAAGTAGCGACAATCTGCACTTGTGTCATATTCCCTTGCTATGATGGAAAGTTATTTTTTTCTTGACTCTTCCAAAAGCGATCCCTATCTTCCCATAGAGTTTCGGCGGAGGAAGAGAAAGGGAAAATTATAAACCATAAATTTTAGATTTAGTTCCAATTTTAAACATACCGCTGATGCATTGGTAAATGCCACTAGGATAATCAATGATAAGACATGTCGATATTTGAAATTACTGAATAATGTATCGATCATGTCACTTGCTAAGTGACAAGAAACCAAATTTACACCGGATATGAATCAGAATTATTTAGCTTCTGAAAGATCATCACACCCGAAGGCGTCATATGCAAATATTACTTTCATCTAATCATACGATGATGTCACAACAAATTTCCAGTCGTCCAAATAGCTCTTTCTACAAAAAGTATCACTTACAACAAGAGAAGTATGTCCCTTGGAAACTAGTTCATGGAAATAAAAATAAACCCCGCCTTTGCTAAGGTCATTTTGTGTCCTTGTCAGCACGAACGCGTCGTGACTCTCGTCCGATCTTCCCATTGGTCGGGGCCGGCGGCGTTCACTGCGCGTGCGGGCATGCCCTCGGCGCCTCTCGGGCGTGTCAGTGGCGAGCGCCCCCAAGGGCGTAACCAGCACAACGCTTTCGGGACTAATGACCGTAGCACTTAGAGCGCCAGGAACGAAAACAATAACTTCGTCTCTTCACATAGCGAGTTTTGCACCAGGGGAAGCAGAAGGTCAGTTCACGACAGCTGGACGACGCGCCAGGAGGTTTTCAGGCCCCGGGATGGTCCCGCTTTGTCCTCGCCTCCTCGGGTGCCTGGTGACCGTCCGAAGTGGCCCTGGGGGGCGTTGCTGCCGAAGCCATCTGCTCGATTGGGAACCCCCCCCCCCTCGCACTATCGATGAGCCACTGCGGCGCCGGGCAGCGGCGGGATTTCGCAATTCCTCTCCCACTCCCGCCTGCGAGCACACGCACTTCAAGTCGGGCCTCCACTCGCGCCCGGTACTCGTAAGATTAGCTCAGACTCATCAATCACTCTCATCCACCTGCTGTTCTTTTACTAAGCAACGTCCTTGAACTGTTTGAGGAATCTTGTAAAATCGGACGCGGAAACGGATTAGAATTGAATGATTTCAAGAGCTGTGAGACGGTCCCGATGAACACCCATCCAGAAAACGAAGGAAGACAGACATGTGTTAGATGCAATTCGTATCCAGAACCTTTTAGTTACCCGCGTTCTCAGGGCAATTGCACCAAGCACGTTTTCTCAATCCTATTAATATAAATATTTTCATTTTATAATAATACAATTGAAATTGATAAATAAAAAAACCATTATTCGGAAATTCCTTATTTTATTTTAAATCAGTAAAATTCGAACTAATGTCAATGTAAAAGTTGAAATATTATTCAATTAAAAATTTTAAGAATGACCTTCCTACCTTCAAACAACTTGCATGTTATGGGGAATATCATGTATTTATTTATGGAAATCATGTATAAACCCATGAGGTAAAGAAATATCGTTGCTTTGAATTTTGTATTAAAATTGCTTGAAAACGTACTCTTTGTTTGCTGCTTTGCGGTTTTCATTGTTCTTCGCATAAGCTGTGGTAAAATATAATGATTAATTTGTAGAAAAATAAGTAAGTTCTGAATTCACATATTTATTACAAAAGTGCACTTATATTCGTTTGTATATGTCCATAATGGTTAATGTCTTATTCATATGCTATGAAAGTGTTATCAGGTATATTTACATAATAAATTTATTCGAATTATGCTACCTTTTTTATTTATCGTTAATTTAGAAAAGTGAGGAAGTGACACTTTTGTTACCTTTCCCGCACTGACGAATAATAAGCAATGTACTTTGTTACCCTGCCTAGTGAAGTCGGGGTATAGGATTCATTGAATAGTACTGAGAATGTCTAAAAATTCGCCCTAGCTCGCGCATACTGTAGTTCTCCGCATATTGCAGCCCACGTGAATGTAAACACTAATTTTCGCCGTTAGAAGCATTTGTTTCTATTGGCAGATTTGACGAAATGAATGATGACAGGACGGTTTCGTGTAGAATGATAATGACTGCAGCAACTAGTGAAGTTATTACATTGCAGAGACGCTATTCATGTTACCATGGTGTATTCTTTTTTAGATGAATGTTCTTATTTTAACAGTTATTGTATTCATTTAATGGGGAGAAACAAACGTACTTCTAACAATTAGAGACGAACTAGAATGAAATATCCAGACAAAAAATTATATACGAAAAATGCATGTTACTGCATTGAATTGAATGAACAAAACCTCTCATTTACGAGTTTTCAAATGCGCTGAACTAGAAATATGTTACTTAGTATAAAGTTTTAAAAGGAAATGTGTGAAAGCGAATAAATGCGCGAAACATCATTTCTAATGAATCTGAAGATTTTGTTAAAAATCAAGCATGGAAGTTTATGGTCAAGTTAACAATTTTACTTGAAAAATCAATTAAATACTTCACTAGATATTCAACATTGGGTAAATTTATCTTCTACGTGTTCTTCAACTTGAAAAGCAAACATAAATGTGTCTACGTAACATGACAGAATTAACACGTGTGTCAACGTCTCGAAGCATTGTACCTTGGAAGCGTTAGACATCCCAAGTGAACATTTCGTTGCTCCGGAGCGCCCTGCGGGAGGGGAAGGGAGTTATCGCCCCAGACAAATTGCAGTTCATAATACCTGTACAGCCCGACAAGGCGGAGCAACGGCTGCTCGTTATCCTGGGGGGGGGGGGCGCCCCGCCCCGCCCGCCGGCAGCGGAAGCGCCTGGGATCTGTTCAGGCTACGCGAGCGGCGCGGCGCGGCGGCGGCGAGGGCGGGGGAGGGGGAGGGGCAGGGGAGGGGAGGGAGAGAGGAGGGGCGCAGCGGCAACACAACGGAAAGCGAATTTCCCAGCGCGCGACAAGCACTTTATCGAACTCCCCCCCACCGCTTAACTGGAAAACGGATACTCGCGGCGCCCACCCTCGGCGTTCACCGCCCTTCGGCATAAATCGCGCCAGCGTCACGTTTTCCCCAAGTTTTCCCAAGTTTTCCCCAAGTTTTCACGGGAATCTTTTGCCGTTCACCCATCAGAGTCCTTCATTCGCAACCATCGTACCGGCAGAGATGACTCAGTGGCAAATATTGCCGTTGCAGCATCATCGACCGGGAAGGCCTAGGTTCTAGCCTCCACGGGGGCGTGTTTTCGATATTAGCTGCACCTGCGGCGAAATGAACCGCTGTCAGGGCGGAGGGATCCTAGCGACTCGCTGCTCCAATCGCGTTTTACGTTCTCTCCTAGTTGAGACTTGGCCAATGCCGGAGAAACTAATATTCTAACGAAGGGAATAAGCATCACATGCAGTCCTCGTTTCGTCACCCTCTCCCCTCCCGCACTTATATTCATTACCACTCTTGTTCAGAGGCCCCGACTGAGAGAGCCTCTGACCGGGGGGTACTAGCTTCGCGTCCCGTCGGTGGCAGGGGTTCCGACAGGAGATACATTGCGAGGTCGAATTCATTCTCTCTATGGAGGAGAATTCTAGCGGCTGCGATTGGTAATGTCCGTGGTTTCTCCTATCAATACAGGCAAATGCCGGAGCAGTAACGTAACAAACGGGCCACAGACCGCGCGCAATCTTTCCTTCTCCTTCCTCGTCCCTTCCTTACCCCTTACTTACACACACTTACATGCACCTCTCTAACAACTGGAGGAAAATCCCGCCAGCCGACGAAGGTTGGAGCCAGATCTCATCCAACAGGATGGGCACCGCCACCTCCCGGGGAAAACAACCTACACTTACGGGACTAATGACTTTAGGAGTTGAGTCGCCTGCAAACCCTAATCAATCTAATCAAATCATTGAGAGATTCGAGCTCGTCTCGAAGTCCCGAGCTCCTCTGGATGAGACACCAGGAGGAGCCCCGCAAACGGACGTACAAATCAGCGCCGGATCTCACGTACTGGCGGCCCCACCTCCCGGTTCACGACATGCACTACGCTTACGGGCATAATGAGATAAGTAGTTGTCGCGCTCGGAAACAAGAATCCTTCTACTCAGCTGTAATGAATCATTATCCCTCAATAAACGCACGGGAAATTCAGGTTGGGAGATCGTGAACGAAATTTCAAATTTACATTCCTAGGAAGCCGGCGTGTCGTCTGCAACCCAATGATGTTAAATGGACGCGAATCAAGTGATACCGACATACTTTATGTGTTTTGGCTATTTATGAATATTAAGAAGGATGGCGAATTACCCAAATATTCAAATTAAAAATGTGAAAAAACTTTAATAGCACATTAAGACTTAAGTATTTCAATGTATCATAAAATATGAACAACAGTTACTTGGATTATCCTTTAACCCCACATTGTTCTTGAAACAATTATTGTAAAATGTTTCTTAAGAGTATTATGAAATATTATAAACAGTTACTTAAGTAATATTATGTATTCAAGGATCCTGCTGAATGTGAATATATAATCCACTTAACTAATATTAATACTTTATGATGTATTCACATATCTTTTGCGGATATATTTATGGTATGTTCTGTGACTATAGTGTTTCTTATGGAATTGTGACATTTTCCCACAGTTTTATTTAGTACGTCCGTTGTAATTGGCCCTTCTTCTTGACATTCTACCCGCATCAGTGAATAAGCCAGTGAGATAAAGTGTCCACGAGCGAACCTTTTACCTTACGTTTTGCATTTCTTTCATAGATAACAGACTCTTGACGCCGCCACTGGGTGCCTCGAACGGCAGCCGTCGCCACGCCCTGTCGCGGCGCAGCGCGCGGACTCACCGCCGAAGTTGGGCCGCAGGCGGATGTCGTAGTTCTTGAGCAGGCACGAGATGGTGTGCGTCACGTTCTCCAGTCGCGTCACGTTCTCCACGGCGCCCGGCGCCATGCGGCAGTCGCCGCCCTCCGCCGCCGCCGCCGCCGCCGCCGCCGCGCACCACCTGCGCACAGCCACAACGGGGCCGCTGGAGGGGCAGCATTCGAGTCTCGGCGGTGTTAGGCAGCTCATCCGCATTCAGCCGCTCTCCGCATGACAGCATGCACTAATCTTATGCGACCAATGGCCACGCCCTTGTCACTAATTAATCAATAAAAATAAGAGAATTCAGGAGGAAGTAATTGCATCAAAAGAAGTCACTTATATTTTAAAACGAAACACTTTGTATTTGCATTAGGAGACACAACCGGCATACTACTTTGAGGTGGCAGCTGGTCGTTACCTCCTGGGTCTCCGATGCTTGTCAGAGCTTTTCTAGATCAGTGGGAAATGAGCATGTGGCTGCCGTCGCCTCCTGCGCCGTGAGCGCACAGGACCACGGTTCTCGCTCGCACGTGACCGGAAGCGCAAGTTCTCCACAAAAAGCTGTGTAATTATATTTTGACTATACATACATGTTAAACAAAACATAATGTAACAAGTTTTTGGGATTAAATAGTTACTTTCAGACATGTTTTTTATAATTTCAGTGTTACGGGCACATGCTCAAAGTTGCAGACCGTATTAAACTGAGATTTAATTGACTCGTTTAATTTGTTTATACTAGTAGCTCAAGTTTTCAGGACGAATTTAATTTCCTTCGCGCGAGTAAGCAAATTACCACGGATTTTAGTGAAGCCACTTCGCGGAACAGGTTCAGAAAATGCACTTTGACTCCTAAACAGTACGAGAAATCAAAAAGGGTGTGATGAGACGTCTTAATACACACTTTATTATTTTTCATTTACAACCAAAACGGGAAGATTTGGTAAGGTTGGGGTTACCGAAATAATTATGCCAACTTTAAGTTTATCATCTGCCATAGTTAATGGCATCGCCAAATAGCCTGGCCAAAACAGTTGGTGGTACTCTATTCGTTTACACAAATGAAGGTGGCTCGTAATTAAGAATCAAAAGAGAAATAGTTGTCTCTCAACAGTTTGCATTCTCGCGCGCCTTTACGGCTTCCACTAATTATAACCAGAGAATGTCACACCTTTCGACGCTATTTAGCTTCGAATAATCAATTATCGCCCATACGAGAAATAGTGAGCATTAGCATATCAGAAAAAAGTGTCAAAAGATTTCTAGAGAATTATAATCTTGGACCACTTCGAAAGAGGAGGAGAAAAACATCGAGGGAGAAATAGCTAATGAAGATTCAATAGAAATCTGGAATCTAAACGATGTAGTTCACATGCTTATAAAAAAAGATCATCTGGAAGTGATGGAAAATAACATAAAGTTAGTATTTTAGGAACTTGTTTGTCCTAAATGCCTGTAAGAGCTCTAAAATCCCAGATGAATAGAAAAAATCGACAACCCATCAAATATTTATGAGATGAAAAAGAAGTGATTGAATCAGTTAAAGGAAAATAGCCTTGTGACAAAAACGTACAAAATCTCGCAAAACTGACCATAATTAGACCCAATAAAATAAGCGACATATTATATCGAAATTGTAATCTTTGAATTTTATTATAGTTGTGAATCAAGACAATCAAAACTAATTGGAAAAATAGTTGTATTTATGGCATATTTTAGGACATATTTGCAGTTTATTGTACGAATAATTGCGTCATCACATATTCAGCCAATCGCAGTGAGAGAATCATGGGGTGGTAGCTGTAAACCGAACACAGTTTTTACGCACAGATGTCGTATATTAATAAATACGTAATGTTTATAAATATGTAATCCTGTTATACAAAAACTAATGTATGCAAGTTCTTTACTGGATTCGTAAAAATTTGAAAATTCGATTGTTTTCAAAAAAATTATTTATGCAATAAAGCTCTACATTATAAACCAGTTGATATTCCATGTTTAATGAAATTTGCATCTTCACAACTTCAAGTTAGAATGTTAAAATTCTATAAAGGATAAAAATGAGGATACAATCTAATTGAAAGAAAGATATTAAATCTTTATTTCGGAAACGCAAAAACAATAAAAATCTAGCACTAGCCACAACAGAGGACATCTTTACATCGATCGTCCTGGCAGAGACCACTTCATTGAGTAATCCTCCGAATCATGCTTACGTGGAATTGTGGAATCGGTGGCTTGCAAGAGGAATGGAGACTTGCCAAGAACCGATCTGATCTGATTGAACATAGTGAAAGATTTATTCACGAATTATAGAAAGCGATTTTTTATTTATCCAAAATTAATGAATGCAAAGAGTACACTTTCAGATTTGATAGTAAAATGTACACAATGAACATTAATAAATATGACTGTAAAAACAGATGTAAATTTGTGGTATGCATATGTGTATATTTTTCTTATTCGGGAAAGTAGATCTGACAAGTATTAATAATTTAAATAAGCAACATGGCAAACGCCGGGCAAGTTGGGCGGCGCCGGAGCGCTGAGAGGCCCCGAAGGGCCCGCTGCTCCCAGCCAACCGGAGGAGGAGGCGTTACCAGCGTCTAGGGCATGTACAGGGGAGAAGATGATTACTTTTACTTTCTCGTTACGGAGTACAGAGAAAGTTATCGAACGCTGCGCGAAAAAACAGCGAATTGTTTGCAGAAACAATCTTATTACAGGGCCCTTGCAACGAGAAAGGGGATACATCCACATACTAAATTTAAAAGAAAAATTATCCTCAAAATCCGTTTTGTGGGTCCTTGATACCGAAAAATGGAATGAAAGCAAAACATCTGTCTGACCGTGAGAGCGTAGGCTTCCGCGGCCGGAGTCAGTATTTACAAGGCTGTTCGGGTGACCCGCGTCCATGGCGAAGGTGCCGACGTTTCGGTCGCCATTCTGCGACCTTCCTCAGGGCGTAATGTAACATTTCCGTTAACGTCACCCGGACAGCCTAGTAAATAAAAAAATCTGTCTGACCGTCTGCCTGTGAACAATGCTGGCGGCTAAACCGTCCTACCCATTTTCTCTAAAACTAATATTCCTCGATCAATCTAGCTGATATCTCGGCCCTTTCAATTTGAAACAGATATTTTAAATTTGGGCGGTTCTTTACATAAAGTCCCTGAAACATTTTCAAAATAAAAAAAAACTATGCCATTGTATTTTATTAAATTTTATTTTTTGATACTGTGAAAGACGTTTAAAAATGATTCTGGTCTCATATTCGTTGAAAACTATTTTTCGAAAATTGAAAAATGACAAAAATGTTATGGGTCTTTCTACAACTACAATAATGAAGATAGAGATTTTTCCCTAAAATACATTTCTTAAAGATATATTTTAAAATAAAGTCACATTGATTTGGCGTAATAAAATTTTGCGTAAAAGTATGTACTGTTTTAGCACCACTAGATTATAATAAATGTATGGTAGGAAGTTTCGTAAACCGAAGTTACACCTGTGCTATTTGCCCCACGTTGGAAACCACTTGTCATGCACTGTTATATGGCGGGAACAGGAAATGTCTGCGACCGTGTCGACACTTGACCTGCAAAACGCCAGGACATTATCAATCAGTTTGTAATGTTTCTTTAGCTGTAATCTACAAAACCAAATCTTTATGGATGTTATATTTTTAGATTCCACAGTTTTGAAACAAGCGTTGTCACGACGTTTGAAGTGGTTTCCAGTAATTTTCACTTTTAAAATAACCGTTTACAAGGTTCGCGTTGTTCGCTCGTCTATCATTGTTTGCAGATATATCTGTTTTACGATACTCGTTAAGGGCGGTCCATGGGTTGTCAGATCGATCTTGCACATCTGTGCGCCGGGATTAATACCCCGATCAATCGAAGAGACTTGTGGAGAGCAAAACCTTCTCGGTTGCTCTCGCTCCGCCTCACTCCCTTTCAGCAGCTGCTCCATTGAACCCACTCTATCTCATCCGCCATCTATAAAACCATTTACTCAGCTACAACAGAAAAGTACTGCAGTACACGCAGTATAGAAGCGACAGTTCGATGCCCTGTTGCCACACATTTCTACTATGCACATGGCGGCACCCACATGGCAGATGCATAAAATCTCAAAACATCAACACTTTCTGACAGGTAATGACACGCCTTCACATGTTCATAACCTCTGCCACAGACGAACTTTATCTCCTCTGCGACACAATGTGAATCAGAAGATCGGCAACGTTGAACTCTGGTTATGAGAAAGTAAACAACCTTCGCACGCTGATTGTTTCTGAGCAGGCCACATGACTTTTCACAGCACGAGGCGACAGAACTGTCAGGGTCGTTTATACGCAGGCGTTACTGTAGACGATAAAGATATACTTTATTTACGAGAGGATGGTATTACCTCATGTTCGACGATAAGAACTTGTGAGGTATCTTTCTCGAGTAGTTAAACTATCTTTATCGTCGTATGTAATATTTTATTTCATTTTATTCCTTCATTTCTCATAAAAAATCAAAAATAGGATATATTGTTCTTACGTAATATAGTCTGGAAGGGTTGGTGATACTGAGAATTAAGAAGAACAGTTGGCACTCATTGTGTCAACTGTAACGCGCAAAACAAAACGAATCGTGTAAGACATATTTAATTTAAAATGTCGTTTAATGCATTTTTGTGTCGTTCGTGAGACCATGGCCTTACTAATTGAATGCGGTTGAATTGATCAAGCATTATAATCTATTAAAGAAGTTTGTTGACTAAAAATGGCTATCAGGCGTTGTTCTTTCGTTTTTTAAAATGTCACATACGTAGAGTGAACCCCCATGTCTTTTGGAACACAGACTTTTATTAAATGGGCAATGAACCGAAAAACCGATGATGAGTTTCAGAGTAATTGCAAATGAAATGTCCAAACAGGAGCGACAGAAGCAGCAGAGTAGCATTTGTATTATTAACAGAAGAATTAGGGGGTGGTAAGAGGCGACGCGAGTAAGCGAAGAAGGCGGTTGAACGAACAAAGCATTCAAGAAATGAATAATGCACAGCACATTGAATAAACAAATATAAAACTTGAAGTGTTTATAAAAAGAGTTTCGAGTCATATAGAATACTGAATCAAAAGCTAATACCTCGTATGTAGCTCAATATTACTGAGAAAGGGCCTTTTGAGGTACTCGGCAGAATTAGAACGGGCG